ACAGAATTTTTTTATTTTTTGTGTAATGAAAGTTTTTAGCGGTGCAATACAGCATGCAAAATTTGAACATAGGTCACCAGACAAAATAAAGAGATATACCGCATTGTTTTTCTAAAATGGTAAATTCTAATGACGTCAGCAATTGACATAAAACGCTATATAGAACACGCGAAATGACGTGAGATGGCGCGAGCAGCTGCTTACGTCAGGTCATTTTGGAAGTTCTGCCATTTTGTTAATCAGTTTCCGCGACCTGCGCGTAAAAATGGTCACCCGGTTTTGAGTTCGCGATTCTTGAGCAGGGTTTTCGTGATAACTATATCGAGCCACCTTAAACTATACATTTCGTGTAAAATTGTCTGTAAGTGATGACTGTCGCCATTTGAAATACGGTCGAATATACAGAATATTTCATCATAGTAAAAAGTCGACGTATATAGGCTACATGCACTGTAGGTTTAATCTTTGTTTAAATGTAATAAACACGTGTGCATTTGAATTCGGCGCTTTAAAGCCGTCTACAAGAACTAACAAATTTGATAACATTTATAGCTGCAACCTGCCCCATACCAAAATATCCACAATAACAATACACCAAGTATACTGTCTATCCCTAGCTCTTAGTGTACAACGTATAATTAATTATACTGCATTAAAATGTCAAAGGTGGAAGCCAGTGTATATAGCCTATACTGCTGTAGGCAGTATTCTACATTCTGCTAGCCTATAGTATGGCATGTTTTGTGCCTAAACTACCTGAAAAAGACTAAAAGCACCTCGAGGTTCCGCGAGAAGGCCCTGCTATAACCTCCTGAGCAAGGGACGTCGCGCTCGAAAGTGTTTTAATCAGATCTTCATGTCAGTTCAGACACCAACAAGGCCAGTTTACTAAAGCTAATATTATATATTGTCATGCACAATTCTTACCTTTAGACAGACAGCATAGTCTCGAATGTTCTTCTTTTAAAAGTCACTACAGACGGCCTTTTCTGATAAAAACATATTCTGGAATAAGTGTATATTAAGCTTTGACTAAATCATTACACAGTTAACTATAGTACAACTATATGTTCGGACAACCGCTCGAAATGGTTTGTTTTTCAGAGTGGTTTAAACTTTCACGTGTGTCAATCCTTCAAAGACTAGTCATGCAAAAGAACGTGTTCAAACTTGTTTGCCGTTTTCACCTCGGGGCAATAATCTTTCATGAGATAGCCTCTTTGAAAGCCCGAGTGATAAAAAGATGTGGTGCTTGCCAATGGCTCCGGTTGAGTGTTTTGGGAACTGCCACTTATTAATATCCTTCCGTTTGATGAACCGCAAGTATTTTAAATTCAGAATATCCATAGGCGTACCGGGCGGGGGGGCGGGGGGGGGGCGGTAGCCCCCCCCAGTTTTTTGGGCAGTCGGGCAATATTCGATCAACAGTCGGGCAATTTTGGTTTGCAATAAAAAAAATGGGACAAATTGTGACAATTTTGTCTAAAATTAAGTCAATTTTTTGGCAAATTTTGTTATTTTTCGAAAATTTGTGTCATGTTCGGAAAAATATTGGTTGTCCGGAAAATTTTTTTGACCCCTAAAATGGTACACTGACAAAATAATTTTTCCGGAAAAAAATTTTTGGTACTAGTCGGGCAGAATCCAGAAAAGTCGGGCAATTTTCTTTCCGCCCCCCTGATTTTTTCCTTCCGGTACGCCCATGAGAATATCTGTCTGTATGAGCTTTCAAATCTAACACTGTACAAGCCTCACAGGCGAGTATGAAAAATTCCCATAATATACATGAAAAAAATACTCAATTCTGATTGGAAAGATCAATGCAATTTCATGGAAATTTCACTCAACGCATTTCACTCGCACGGTCTGTGTAGCGATGATACAACAGCCTGAATGAATTCGAAGCGAGAACTTCAAACTTCAGAAGTTCTGCTTGTATTTTTTTCATGTAGTTTGATCTATCTCAATCCCCAGCAGATACGCCACATCTACGACGCGGACGTGACGAAAAACTGCCGCTATTATCACAGTTTCGCCTCACGGGTAAAAACTATGGATGACTGTGTTGGTAAACAAAGCCAGGGACACGAGAAAAACAAAGTAACACTAGTCTCAAATTATTAGCGACTGTTTTTTTAGTCGCGTCTGCGTTGCAGATTTGGTGCATCTTAAAACACACGTTGATTTTATAGTTTTGACTTCTGATATCACTGGAACAAAATAATTAAATCCATACTACGGAATTTGCGATTGCATCACAAAAATGCAATTAGGCCAAAAAAAAATATGTGGGTTTCCGGTTTCCCGACCCTACCTAGCTTTTGGACGTCGAAATCCCGACCCTAAACTTTTTTACTGGATCATGCTTGTAAGTGTTTCCACTTAGAGGAAAATGTTTGTGGAAAATTGAAATTTGAGGCAATATTAGGGAAATTTATCTTTGGATGTGGAAGCACTGACTAAACAAAATGGCGTCCGGTTGTCAGGAAAATTAAAAAGTTAAAAAAAATAAATTAAAACCGACCTACCCTACCTAAGTTTTTATAAGAAGAAACCGGAAACCCACATATTTTTTTTTGCCTTAGTATGAAAATTGGGTTTCCATACTACTTCCAACGAAGATCCGTATACTACTTCCATAGTAAGGATGTTGAAAAAAAATTCCAGTGATAGTAGTGAACTTGCATAATTACATGTAGACTATTGCAGATTATTGTGTCGTTCAAATAGCCATTCCGAAGTTGATGAGTGGACTGGAGACGAGTGTTAAAAAGTGCCCAAATTAAGAAATGATCACAAATCACTAAAAAGACCACCTCAAAATTAGTATGTATACAAAGTTTGAAGACGTTTACATAATAAATACCCTTCGAATAATAAGCTTTCGAAAATTGTGAAATTACTGATTAAAAGACTGTTTTTGGGACGCGCGTCCCCCAAAACAAAACTTACAGTACAATTCATAGTAAATATCGCTTATTATTCGAAGGGTATTCATGTGAACGTCTTCAAACTTTGTATACTTACTAATTTTAAGGTGGTCTTTTTAGTCATTTGGTTCATTTCTTAATTTGGGCACTTTTTAACACTCGTCCCCAGTCCTCTCATCAACTTCGGAATGGCTAATGTGTTTCATGCATGCAAGTGACTACGAATTTGCTGTACCACATATATTTTTCATGTAATAGCCAAACTGGCACAGACCGTTTACACTTGCAGTTTTTGCATCGATTTCTAGTATGACTTTCTTCTTCTGATGTATGTGAATGAGCAAATCAGTTGTGAATGTTGACTTTGAGTATAATTATGTATATCCTCGTCTCAACATTCATAACTCGTCCACTCGTTCACATTCATCAGAAGACGAAGATCACACCTTAAATCGCAGCACAAATTACAAGTATACAAACAGGCCTTTAGATGAATCTTGTATGTTACAAGGCAATTATACCATGCAACTTGTTTTGGGATTTTCCCATCTGCGAATATATGTAGACTTTCGAAAGCCCCTGCAGTAAGTTCATAGGTCTGATATGAAATTAACAACACAGCTTGTATGAAAGTCTGTAATCGGCAATTTCATTTGAAGCAAAAAATGCTCGAGTTAATTTTAGAAATAATAACGGACTACTTCACAATTCATGCCAATTTCTCATAGTCGGCCATAAGTCTGTGGTCCTCTTGCTGCAGCTTGAGGGCATTATCTAGAACATTGTTGGACCAATACTGCCATATTGTATTTAAACCACCCGCTCCGGTCTCCTGAAGTACGTATTCTAAAACATTCTGAAAAGTATGTGTGCGTGTTTAACAACAAGCATTTGCTTCAAAACGTTCTTGCCACACATGTCAGGGTTCATTAATATTATTTAGTGTGTGCAAGCAAAATTAATAACTTCAGGATATGTGCCTGCAAAAAGCATCGTATTTTTGGTTTAGAGAACTAAACATTGTTAAGATGTTTAAGAATTTAATAAGATTTCAAAATGTGCCTCAAATTCAAAACATTCCTGCTAGCGGCACTTGCACGCTGAAATGATGCTTGCCTGCATACACTATAGTCTAGTAAGAAGTGCATTCACCCACTTGTTTGGAATTTTTATTACATTATTTTTATGCATATACCATGCATGTACAACAGCACAAGAGTGAAATTTGAGTTTATTCGATTTTGATCTCAGTTAAATCTTTGCTAAATTGATTCTAGAAAAATCAATCAAGGATTCCATATGCGATAACCAATAATGTACAAAAACGAGTTCAGATTAAAGATAAAATTGTACAAAATACACTAAGCCTATAAGGAAATCAAGATAATTATATGCAAATGATCTCTTTGTATTGTATAGTCAGCTCATATGAGCACACTCCCCCACAACCCAGAAACCCTAGCCATAACCCAGGAAAATGTGTGTGTACTTACGGGAAATCTGGACTCTCTCTGCGATGCTTCAGCATCAGCCGCAATTCGTAATAACTTTGTAAAACGTTTCAAGAAATCTGCCAAAACATCACTCAATACATCTAAAGTTAAATCATGTGCACCTACAACAATGAAAAAAGGTGAAACTACAATCCACACACAACTATGCCAAATAAGACTAAAATTCAAGTAAAACTTATAGGGCAACAAAGGAAATAATTATCAGGCATTCTGTTATACCCCTCTCAAATGAAATACTCCCTCTTTATTTAAGCGCCCTCTTTTTCGAGGATTAAATTAATTACGGTAACTTACTTTCATAACCACAATGGCAACATATTGCAGCAATAGCTTTATATGTAAGACATCGCAATGCATTACTATCCAACTCAACTGGACTGCTACCATGACCAGTGATAAATGCACTAAATGAGTCAAAATTAAACATATTTAATGGACCAATCCCCAATTAACCAAAATTTTGAACTTTACAAGTCTAGACAAAAATTTCATCACAGCTTGAAAGAGCATCACAAAATTAGTAATATTCCAAAGTTTCGTTGCAAAATGTTGTAAAATGCGGATAATATAGCCTTGCGAAGTTTGCAATTTTCAGTCATTTTAGATTACAAACGGGAAATGGTTACCACTTCTGTGCGTAATACAAAATGACTGAAAATTACAAACTTTGCAAGGCTATATAATCCGCATTTTACAACATTTTGCAACGAAACTTTGGAATATTACTAATTTTGTGATGCTCTTTCAAGCTGTGATGAAATTTTTGTTTAGGCTAGTTAAGATCAAAATTTTGGAAAAGTGGTAACCATTTCCCGTTTGTAATCTAAAATGACTGAAAATTGCAAATTTCGCAAGGCTGTATTATCCGCATTTTACAACATTTCGCAACGAAACTTTGGAATATTACTAATATTGTGATGCTCTTTCATGCTATGATGGAATTTTGTCTAGACTTGTTGAGATAAAAATTTTGGTTAACTGGGGAATGATCCATTGGGTTATACAGATTCATGTCACGTTGGTCTGAGTTCCTAACCATTTTCTCACCCTGACCTTAACTGCTGATTCTAACCCATACATAGCAAGACATAAATCAACCTTTTCCTTTAATTGGTCAAAAGCAACTGTTAAATAACACAGATATCAAGATTTTGTTGGCATCTCACTAGGAATGTTCGGTATGAGAATTTTCCGGTATCAGCATACCGAAAAAATTATACCGATATTATCGGTATACCGGTTTTCCTTTGATAATTATAAAGGAAAATTCTTTAATGGAAGTTTAAAGGAAATTTTGAGTAATTCTAAAAGGGAAAATGATAATTTCGAAGCTGTTTTGAACATGTTTCGAATGACATGCATGTACTCAGTGTAAAATCTCACTGAAGTGGACATTCTAAATCATTGCAGTAGAAAGTTCTCTGAATTGCCATTCAGTAGTAAAATAAAGGTTACAGTTTCCCCATATAGTTGGTAAATTTAACACGGTATACTGAAAAATTCCGGTAAATCCGAAATTTCGGTATATCGGTATGGTTGAATATCCGGTATCGATATTGATTTAATACTGATATTTTCGGCATATCGGTATACCGAACTGTCCTACATCTCACTCAATTGTATAATAGTTGAAGGGTATTGTAGATGGAAATTATCGAGTGGAAATTTATATACATTTTATTAGACCTAACCAGGAACAGCTGCAAAAAAATTAAACTTGAGGTCCCTGGCCGGAATCAAACCCGTGGCCCTGTGACTAGCAAGAGCGCTCTCCCCTTGACGAGTAAAATCATCTGGCATTAGACAGAATAAAATAATAAAGTAGGGTGCATCAGGGCGCAATGCGACTCAATGGGTTAATACCTTGTTGTGTCAACTTCAGTAGGATTGGATAAAAATCCTCTCTGATGTGGTCGAATGTATATCCCATTTTTTCCACAATATTTCTTTGGTGGCGGAGGAGCAGCTGGAAGTTGAGGAAGATTCTCATTTTTCTGGAAAAATATTCAGTTTCATATATATTGGTCGAAATGACTTGTACAATGCAAGGAGCCTGTGTGGATACTAAACCACAATAAGATGCCGTGGCTTTTGTCTGAATTACCAGAAAATTAAAACCTTTCTTTTAAAATTACATTTTTATCTTCTTGCCGACTTTCTAGACATCAACCTCGGAGCTTATTGATTAATAACTGAAATATGATAAGTTTAACATGTTTACGAGTACTATATGTGTATTTAGTTATTAAATTAATGTACGTACTATATTTATTAATTAGTATTGTATTGTATATATACTGTACTGCTCTGTCTAGTATATGTGTACCACAAAAGTTGTAGATTAGTGGTTCAATAATAATGAAATATTCTTAAAAATAATGCTATACTGTCCTGTATTGGATGCAGTCAAGATTACTTACACTCCCACCGGCTTGTTGATGTTGAGCAGCCATTTTCATGAGCATCATCTTTCTGATGTGATGTTTCAACTCAATAGAATGAAGAAGCAAGTTCTGCCCATGAGAGTCTAGTGGAGGCTGAATTGACGCCAGATTTTGGTTCGAAGACCTGTGGACAAAACCGCAATATAAACAAATCATACCAAAACGTGATGTACATTCAGTAGTATCTAAAAGTTTGAACAGGACAATTACAAAGTACCGGTACAAAGACGTGCTTGGGGTGACACTGGTGGTTTAGTGGTTTTCTCAAAGTCTTTCTTCCCATTGTAGATTCATGTGTCGCTGTTTATGAATAGTGACCCAAATTCTTACCCTGACAATTGGTAAGACAGGTCTTCGAATCAAAATCTGGCGTATTTGTACATATCATTGTATTTGTACATATTGTCATACTCATATTGATTTTGTTTATAATACTCTACTATAAAATTTACCGTGAAATATATTTTTAATGGTGTGACATTATAATAAAACCACTATTGTACATAATTCACTTGATTATTAAACCTTTTTTCTTGCACAAACGTAACGTTGAACTTACTCTTTTGACACATTTTCTTTCGAGGAGACTTGATGAAGTTTCAACTCGTCGCATTCAGCTGCTTCTGGTTTGAACAATTCATCAAAATTTATATCGCTCGTGCTAGGAGTCTCTTCAACAACTTCTCCCCAATAACTTTCGGCATTGGTTTCCATTTACAAACCGTTGTAGTCTTGTAAATCGAAAATTTTAACATTTTCTACAAAACTGTGCTTCGTCCACCATATTGTTGTGCCCGCGAGCCGAAGGTGGGTACGTCATGTTAAGCAAAATATAATTGAATGGCCACAAGACTGGCCACTCAACTCGAGGGGTCCGACACGGCCACATGAAGCGTACGAGATTTCGAAATCACACGATTTCTAACCTGATTTCTTGATTTCTAATCTGATTTCTGTTGATTTCCAAACGGATTTCTGTTGATTTATAATGCGATTTCTTGATTTCTAACGTGATTTCTAACCTGATTTCCTGATTTCTAACCCGATTTCCTGATTTCTGTGAGTTACCGCTGTCATATAAGACTGTGGGCTCAATAATAACGAAGTTTTAGTGATTTCTGATTTCAAAATGGACTAATTTCTCTCGTGATTTCCTGATTTCGGGTTTGATTTCAGTTGATTTCTGAGTCGAGTGTACGAGATTTCAGCCGTGTCGGACCCCTCGACTCAACTCAAAAACACAAACACAAACACAAACACAAACACAAACACAAACACAAACACAAACACAAACACAAACACAAACACAAACATTATTAAGAGTATGTCTATACAGTTTGAACCAGTTGCGTCTCTTATGTCCACACAAAAAATGTATTTAAAAATGCAATGGAATAAACAACCTCTCTGGCAGGAATCGAAGCTGCGAGCCTGCGATTCCGGTGCAGCGCTGTAACCAACTGAGCTACAGTTAGTTATACAGCACAGCGCGCCAATTCAGGGGCGAAACTTGAGGGGTGTATGGGGGTGTGTGTACGAATAATCTGATTTGGCACCCCCCCTCCCAAAGTACGAACCATCTGGATTGGCAGGGAAAATCATCTGGATTGGCAGGGCAATCAAAGATTTTAAATGATAGAATGTAGAGTTATTAAGTAACTTACAGGGATTTATAGACCCAAATTTTACAGATATTGGTCCAAAACTATAAGGGTTTCACGCATGTTTTAACAGGAATTTGTACGGAAAAAATGTTTTCATCCCTTAAGGCCCATACAGACCGGACGCTATTTGGCAACGCGACGCGAATTTCAGTTTTCAATGACATTTAACTTTAATATTTTTCATTGTTTTTCAAATATTCGGGACCACTTAGAAATTTTAGCTATTTGGTCTGCATACCTTGTAAAATTTTTATCCGTTAACGGTTTTATTTGTTTTTGAAAACTGAAAATTCGCGTCGCGTTGCCGAATCGCGTCCGGTCTGTGTGGGCCTTTAATGTCACTGGTTTATGTGCGGAAAAAAATTTTTGAACCCCCTCCCCTCCCTCGCCAACATTTTTGGGAAAAATAGTGGCCAAAAAAAAAATTGCTGCAGGGCATCATCGGCTTTTGCCCTAGCAGACACCCCCCTAATTAAAATGGGCTAGTTTCGCCCCTGCGCGCCATATAGCATTTAAATCTTACTTGTGCACAAATCGAGCTCTTATATCCAATCACGAACATAAAGGCAAACACCAGGGCAACTGCTGAAGCACAGAATAGAGATCAGTACCAGAAGGGCCACTCAGCGGTGCAACGTGTCCCCATTTTTCTATGCAAAAATATGCAATTGACTGGCCAGGAAGATGGCGGCCAGCCAATACAGCGCGTTTATTGGCCAGAAAATGTAATCGACTGGCTAGGAAAATGGCGGCCAGGGTGCCCTTCTGTGTGCCTTATTCTGTGGCTGAAGTGTGATTAAGTGCCTGACAAAGATACCGAACTGAGCAAAGATAAGGACTAACAAAATGCACATCAGTGATTGGGGTAGTCCAACTCTGTCAGTTTAGTATATATACTACTCTATACGGACAAATCTAACCGATAACGCAAGCGAAGTAAGGGCAACTGAACGTCAGCACATATACGATTTATTTATGTACAAATCTAGTCGATAATGTAAGCGAAGTAAAGACAAACATATGAACAACTGCTGAAGTGCCCGACAAAGATACCAAAGACAAAAGATAAGGGATACAGAAGACATTGGACATGATTGTGTTGGTCCAACTCTGTTATATAGTTTAGGATATAAACGATTTATTTATGTACAAATCTAGTCGATAATGTAAGCGAAGTAAAGACAAACATATGAACAACTGCTGAAGTGGCCGACAAAGATACCAAAGACAAAAGATAAGGGATACTGAAGACATTGGACATGATTGTGTTGGTCCAACTCTATTATATAGTTTAGGATATAAACGATTTATTTATGTACAAATCTAGTCAATAATGTAAGCGAAGTAAAGACAAACACATGAACAACCGCTGAAGTGTGAAGTGTCCGACAAAGATACCGAACTGACCAACGATAAAGGCAAAGACGTTGCACATGATTGCGGTTGTCCAATTCCTTCAGTTGTGAACATTAATCTAACTTGACATACGCGCAATCCAAATATAAAGCCAATCACAAGGACAAGAGCAGAAGTGTCTGGCAAAGATAAGACGAAATCATTGTACATAAATCACTGCGGTTGTCCAACTCAAGATTATCATTCATTTGCCTAAATTACAATAACTATCAATTTTAGAAATCTCGGTTCTTTACTCAGCTGTTTGAAAAATGTTGATCACGAAATGTAAATTATGCAGAAAAGATTATATGTTGCCGCCGTGGTTTGTATCATTGGCAAAACTACATTTACAGATAAAAAAAGCCTACGTTTCGAGAGAAAGCCCTCATTCAACAGGCGTTATTGGGCCTTGGCGCGAAATGCTGACCCCAATAAAAAAGGTTATGACTTATACAATGCCGCATTTTGTCTCCAACATGATATTTATGGTTTATCTCAAACGTGATGTCCATTGTAGGAAATTGTAGGTAGTACAATATGCGGCCTTGGTTTTGGCAGAAACTATTTGAGAAAGGAAAGGCTTGGACCGTTGGACTTGGACGTTTGGATGATGAGAGGGTCTTCAATAGTTCAATTCGCTGGCAAACGCGTAGACGTATTTTTAATCTTTGTCATACAGGTCTTATCAAAACAACCGTTGTGACGATTTGTGTATACATGTCGAGAAATGTCGAGTTGTTTCCTCTAGCTACGACTACGTCTTTTCATGTAAAATTGATTTCGTAACGACAGTGTTTGCTTTGTGTGATATATGTCGGCGTTTGTTGACTCGATACTGAACGGCTGGATGTGACGAGCACAGAAGCCTCACAAAATAACCGACCCACACGAAGAATAGTCCAGAAAACTTTGATTACTTTTTTTCAATACGCCTTCATGAGTTGTCTCTGAATTACCTAAAAAATATTTTTAGGCAAACATTTTGTTATCATTAGCATATGACGTCAGACATGTCATTTGGCACCATTTTCGTTGATTCTAAACAATCTACCGTGTTAGGGAAATTTTTACGGTTTCTGCCTGGCTTAGATACGAGCAGGATTCGGGAAAATACATAGTTTGAAGTTGCGACCAAAGTTGCCATATGTGTTTTTATACTGAAACAAGACGGCATCAATTGCATACGATCAATATATGCAATCTCAAAAATGACCTGTTGACGGTTTAGGGACCGTTCATTATTTACACCCGGGGTTGGTACCGAAGAGATATGGGTTGGGTAATCAAGTTTTTGACTAGCTCATGGGTTGGGTAAAAAAATTTGTGGCTGTCTGTCAGCTATAAAATAAAACCGAAATTACCATGCATTGGAAAATATGAAGAAAAATGTGCACAATACATTCTGTACCAAAGTAGACCATCAGTGATTGAGGAAGGACTCTATTATTGATCAGCAGGAACGTGGTTCCATTGGCACACTCAGTGAGTTTGAGTCTGAG